CACTGACTCTTTTTTTCACCTTTATTTTAGGAATACTTTCTGGCTTCTTTGGCATGCAAAATCCCAGTGGTGAGAGCAGGTTTTCATTTGAAGACCTGAACAAATTCATTAACCTTTATCACTGTTTAGATGATTTTCTAAGTTCACATGAACGTATTGAGGAAATCAAAGCAACCTACACTTAGAGATGTTAAAAGAGCATATCTGCCCTTATCTTTAGTTCTTCTTGTTGTTACATACATTAAGCACAGAGATTGCACTATTCTGATGGAAGTGCATTTGGCAACACTTCTATACACATTGTCAGTATAATAGCTCTGACAGTCTCAAAGGAAAATCTATGTTGTATGACATATCCTGTTAACACAGGATCACCACACTGGCTTCTCCCTACTTCATCTCGTGTCCAGGTAACCATTTGAACTCAACAGTCCATTAAAGAGCCCATTCCTGGCTTTTGAAGATGCTGCAACCAAAGTTGGCACGTTCAGCACCAAACACATTGTTAAGAAGGGAATTAGCACATTGGTTTCAGACTCCAACTTGTATGTGCAGAGCCTAACTTGTAGCTGACTCTACCAGCACTGTGTAGCAGAAGACATCACAGACCATGACAGATGTTTCCAACAGCTCTTACAACAGCATCATAGAACTCACCACTTCATGTTGCACAAGCTTCTCTAGGCTCTCCAGTAATCTCTGTTTCCTCAACTTCTGCACACAACTATTCATCCTCTAGTGTACAAGGCACGTTACTGTTTTGTTCCAGGAGTGGGGACAGGAGCACAGAATTACAGAATAGTTAGGGTTGGAAGTGACCTCTGGAGATCATCTAGTCTAACCCCCCTGCCAAGGCAGGGTCACCTAGAGCAGGTGACACAGCAACATCTGGTGAGTTTGTGTTTCCAGAGAGGGAGACTCCACAACCTCCCTGGGCAGCCTGTTCTAGGGCTCTGCCACCCTCAATTTAAAGAAGTTCTTCCTCATGTAGAGGTGGAACTTCTTGTGTTTCAGTTTATGGCTATTACCCTGTGATCCATCACTGGGAACTACAGAAGAGTCTGGCACCATCCTCTTGACACCTGTGGTACTATCATGGTACCTGAGGCCCATCACAGGTATTTTCAGAGTGCAGTGTGTGCACAGGGCATGGCCCTTGAGAGCAACTCCCCAAAAAGGACACTGAAACCCAACATTTGAACAACTGACTTGGTTACTTTCTAGTCCCTTGTGGAGTCTGAGCAAGGACAGGCTCAGCAGCACAACTTAAGGCTGCCTAAGATAACAGCTTAGGTACCACATCGGTCCATTTTAGAAAGAAAATAAACATAAATATCCTCTGAAAAGCACAGTCCTGCCTGTATGTCAAGTGTCATCCAAGCATGCCTGTGGGATGAGGCCCCTCAGGGGTACAGCAGGCAGGAAAAGTAGACACACCTCATCCTTAGGTGGGTGATAAGATAAAAACTGCTCAGGCAGAGGCAGCTCTGTACATGCTGAGGAGAACAGCTCAGCATTTTCAGAGCTTTAGGGTAATAGCAGAACACACCTACTGTGGGCAACACCTGAAGAAAAGGCAGTTTAGGAGGTAAGCTGGAATATGGTCACCTGTATCATCAGAATTCAGCATAGATATCACTTCTATTTCTGGTTCAGAATTCAGCTATACATTATATGTATAGCCATATATATGGAGATACAGATAGCATCTCTATAAATATCAATATAGATACAGTATAGATATAGATATATCCAATTGTCATTTCCTTCAGGTCAGGTGACAAGTTGGCCACAAATCAGTTACTGAAGAGTTTAGGCAATGACACTGAATAACTTGAGCAATTTTTTGCAGGGTGGGTGAGAAGAGCAATCAGTGAATAAATCTCTGATGGGAATCACTTTGCCCTTCTGTGGGCAGGTGCTAAGCTGAGGTCTTGCCACACAAAGCAAGTAGAAAAGGGAGTTGTTCTTGCCAGATCGAAATTCTTTCCATCAGATTCCACCTAAACCACCTTATCCAACTGCATCCCTAAATCTAGAGCCTGATCAAAGAACAAAAACAAGGATATCAAAGAGCTTTTGCTCTACCTGGATTAAAAAAACCCCACCACCTAGCAGCATCCCAGCATAAACTTCTGCAGCAAGGAGGAATCTGCAAACAGTCTCCCCAGTTTTCTTGTTTCTTCCCAGTATTCCAGATGGAATATACTGTCTTTCAGGGTAACCCCTCACCAGGTGTTACCCTGACACCTTAAAGTTTGTGAGCCATGTCAGAATTTGATCAGGTAAAATATCTTCATTGTTAATAACCCTTACAAAATAGCTACAGAAATGAATATTGACCCAGAACAGCCTATTGAGCCTAGTGAAGACAGAAACATTTTAATTAAAATCAAGTTGCAAAAAGACTCAATAAATAACTACATTCAAATGTGGAGAATTCTCATTAAAAGCAACAAATGATCAGTTTGGTGCATGAGTCTGAGCCCAGTTTGAACTATTTTGACCAGTCTTGTACTGATTTCAGTGGGACTCAGGATTTTAGCAGCTTTCAACTCTCACTGGTTAAAAAAAAAAAGTAGGAATCCTTAATATTTATATTACCTTCAGCAAGACAACAAAATGTCCTCATGTATTACCAAACAGGCAGTGAAATCCCTGAATTCATCCCAGGACAGTATCATCCCTCAAGTATTTATCAAATGTTTCTACTGTTGCACATAACTGTGGATGTCACTCCTTGGATTTGGGGCAACAGAGTTTTTCTAGGTACTAGTTAGAAGGGATTTCCAAATTACCTCTAAATCTCTTTTTTAATAACTCCTTTTTTTTAAACAGGATCATTTTCAAAGACATCTCTCAGCTATTAGTAACCAAAACAGTGTTATTTAGTACCTGCACCTACACACAAAAATAGAAATACAAAGAAGAAATGGAGATATTCTTTAAAAAGAACAAAGGCAAAGATAAGAAGTCCAAACTTCTTCTGCTCTGTGTGTTGTGCTTGATGTTATTTATTACATAGAAAAGAGCTGTTGGTGTCTGCAGCTTGTAATTCATGTGAGCTGCTGATCAGTGGGTTAAGATGGGTCATGTTGTTTCTGGTAGTATCTCACTTTAAGATCTTCCACATCTTCCTCCTTTGGGTGCTTTGTCCACTGAAAGTTCTGGGTGTGAATGGCAGAGCAGAAGAACCACACAGTCTTTGCTTTTCTGGGCAAATTGTCTATTTATTTGTCATTACAGAACACCTTTGTGGTGTTCAGTGTGGATAGAACAATTCAGGTTCTGCCAGTGTGGCTCAACTGTCTCCTAATGAATCTATCAGCTCCACATGATATTAGGAAATATCACTGAATCATAATTCCTTTGCAAAATCAGCAAGATTCACCAGAGCTCACCCACTCTTTCTGAAACAGGCATTGACTTCAATCAAAAAATCATGAAGAACTTTATTGATAATTATCTTACAATTAATTTCTTACAGTTTCTCTTTTTTTCCCATACTCTAGCTGTTCCAAACAACCATGTTATCACCACTCAGCTTCTTTTCCTGCTGTTACATGATACCCACACATCTTGTTCTTCTGTATTTCTATGACCTGTTACCCATTTCTCCTCCTTGACATTTAATCTTTCCCATAAAATTAAAGCACTTTCAGTGGAAATATTCAACTCTAGGCCCACTCCTAACTTCTTCATTTTGTTGGCTCTCTCAAAACCCAATAATATTCTTGGAGAGCCACTGTGCCCCTACAGGTGTGGGCATTGCACTTCCCACTAGCAGAGAAGCTGTCCTTGACCATAACCACAGGTCCTTGGAATCACCAAGAAGTAAACATTGAGATAAAATTTAATACATATAAAAGCAAGAGCAGCCTAAATACCCTTGAAATCTGGACCTGCTCCTCCGTGCCTGGGCTTCTCCACCTTAGTCAAAGCTGCTTTACAGCAGAAAGCCAATCAGACAGCACAGTCACCACTCAATTTAAATATATACACGTATTTGTGCCTATAAACAATCCCTGCTATACAGACTTTGTTCAAACCAGCCATTGCAGGTGCCAACCAGCATCTACTTATCTGCCTCCCCATGCAATCCATGAGCAGAACTAGTGGTAACACCTGAGCAGTCAGAGAAAGTAGTGTACACATGATCAGTAGCAATGGGGACATACCCCAGGCCTTCTTGTTCTTTGCACCTTTGTTTCCTCTATTCTAGAACATCCCTTAAAGATTCCCCCTGTCCTAATGTCTCCTGACTTCCTGCAGTTTGCTTTGTGTTATCCCATTTTCACTGATTCACTAAGCCAAAAAACACTAAGGAGACCTTAATACTGAAAGAGGTTCTTAAGAAAGATGGAGAGAGAGTTTTTAGCAGGACTTGTAGTGATAGGACAAGGGACAACAGTTTTAAACTGACAGATAGTAGGTTTAGATGGGATATTGGGAAGAAATTCTTCCCTGTGAGGTGCTGAGGCACTGGCTCAGGTTGCCCAGAGAAGCTGTGGCTGCTCCATCCCTGGAAGTGTCCATGATCAGGTTGGACAGGGCTTGGAGCAACCTGGGCTGGTGGGAGGTGTCCCGTCCCTGCCCGGGGGTTGGAAAGAGATGAGCTTTAAGGTCCTTTCCAACCCAAGCCATTTTGGGATTCTATGACCCCATGATGAATTTCATTTCAAACTTCTTCCATCAGCAATGAGCTGGAGCCTCCAACAAACTTAAATTTATCAAGCTAATTCAAGAGCTACTTCTCCCCAGTTTAAAAGCCCATCTCTAAATTCTGAGATTGAGAACGAGAAAAATAGAGGTTCATGGTTGGGAACAAGAAAAAAAATAAATCTATCTTTAAGCCACTTTCCCACTTGATTCTTACTGCAATTAACTTTGCCCAGCTCCCGAGTTTCTATGCCTGAAGACACACACACTGATGGTCTGTGCTGACTCTTGGCAGGAGTTACTTGTCAGGTGAAGAGGTTCCCTTTGAGAGTTGCCAGTTTCTAGCCATGCATATATGCCTCAAGCCAGTGCTCCCCAGAATCCTTCAGTGAACTGCAGAAAGAGAAGGTAAAAAAATCACTTGTGAGGAGACAATATTCAACTTTGTGGGAAGCAAATTGTAGTTTAGATGCAAAAAAGAAATAAATGGGACTTCTAAAATGCATGGACATGTCATAGCAAAGTCTAACTACTGGGAATGAGTTGAGAGGATTTAAGGAAGAGAAAAAAATTCTTTGAAACTTTACAACTTAAGGTGCCTTTAGAAAAATCTAAATAAACTCTAGGGTTGATCTCTCCATGGACACTGATTTGAAATGTTTGCCTGTATCCTTTCCTAGTATGCCATTACAGTGCAAAACTACCTCGCTAATTGATACTTACTGCAAAATGTCTACAAAGGCTGTCAGTAAAGTCTTGCTTTTATACTCAATGCCATGCTTATCACAAAGGCTTTTCACCAGAGGAGCCACTTTCCAGTAGTTGTGGCGAGGCATCGTGGGGAACAGGCTGCAGAATGGAATGAGAGAGTTACTGGAATTCTCTGTAATAGAGATTCTCTGTAATAGAGATGCTCTGTAATAGCACCTCTCTGTTCTCCCATTCAATATATTTCCCTGCCCTCCCCCCAAAGGACAGCAAAGGGTCACCTGAGATGGTTTAGTCATGGAAACACAGAGTGCTTTTTGGAAGAGACCTTAGAGATCATGTTCCAACCCCTGCCATGGGCAGGGACACCTCCCACCAGCCCAGGTTGCTCCAAGCCCCATCCAACCTGGCCTGGAACACTCCCAGGGATGGAGCAGCCAAAGCTTCTCTGGGCAACCTGAGCCAGTGCCTCAGCACCTCACATGGCCTTTCTCACTTTTAAGTGCCCCATATTATTCCCTCTTGTACCCATACTCATACTCACTGGTGCTCGATTTGGAAGTTCAGGTGCCCAGTGAACCAGTCATTGAAAAAAGATTGGTTCACATTGCAGGTTGCATGGAGCTGAGAGGGGAAAAGACCAAAGAAATACATGATTTAGGTTTTATTTTCCTGCCAGCATTCACCCTCTTCTAGCATAAAAGACAAGTTAGAGTCAGGGATTATTGCCATCATTGCCCTGAGGAATCAAATAAAGTCTAGGACTAGCCAGGTGGAGTTTTTTGCCCTTGATAAAAGGGAAAATGCCTAGAATCCACTCTGTGGGATGATACTGCTGGAGGCAGGATAGATGTGAGCAAAGTTCTATTTACATACTCATTTTTATCAGACAATTTTGTCAGATTTATCTTATCTGCAGTAAACCTGCAGGGTAAAAATAAAGGTATCCAGTCCCACTTTACTTGTCTTGGGTTGGCTTGAAAAGGAGATTGACTGTTACACTATTAGTACTTTTCTATAATAGGAAGGGAAAGGTGTTGTGAAAAATATGTCAACACCTTTCGGTAAAAAAAATGATTTTTTCAATCTAGATGTCCTAGATGCTTTAAATGGTTTGATGATTACAGAAATTAGTATCTATTTAATGAACAGAAGGACAAACACAGCATTAAAGCTAAGAGAATAACAATGCTGTGTTTGTCCTACAGCTCAGATGTGCAGACTCACTCTCACAGAAGAAAGGAGATTCTCACCTGAGTAGACACCCAATCTTTGTTCTTATCATAATCAATATGCATTGGAATGTGATTCATCTGTGACACCCAAATAAACCAGGTGCTCTCCAGGTACCTGGGCAGACAGACACAGAAACACTTGTCATATCTCTAATCCCATCCAAATTTACCATTAAAACACTTTCCTGACTCTCATCTTAAATAATTTTTACATAAAGCACTTTTATGGCATTCAGGATTTTCTCTTCCATCCCATCACCTCCTAACTTGGAGTTTAAGCACCACTCAAGGTGTAGTTGCAGATGTCCCTGAGCAACCACCACCACCTCAAAGGGAAACTGTTTCTTCTTGGCTATTTATTTCTGAGAAAAGTGTAGTAAATAGAACTAGTTTCCATGAATTTCCACTGAAGCTCAGTACTGATGACAAACATTAGCCATGGGGACTCTGGGTGTGCTGTGTTACCTGGACAGCCAGTAGTACACCAAGAAGTTGTTAAATCCCATTAAAGGAATATACATGAGGGAGACTCGGATGTTGAAAGACACAACCAACAGCAGTTCCTGTAAAAAACCCAAACCAAACCAAAGGAAGATGAAAATCAGCTTTTGTTGATGACCTCCCTCCACTCCACCCTCTCCCCTTTGCTTCAATTGCAGCTGAAAAAATGATCTGATTTATTGATCTCTTATTTATCCAGAGGAAACTCCACACTGTCATTCTGCCTCATGGTGAGTGTGACTGTGGAATATTCCCACATCACTCACTTTATCATCAACTACTACTGACAACACACTCTGTCTAGTCTGAGAGTTTTCTGTTAACTATTACTTATCAGCTAAAAGGCTATAAAGTCTCTTCTAAAAATTGTCCCTTGCTGCAGCAAGTCTGGAATCAGCCTTTTCTACCCTAACTCCCCACAATCACCTGAGGTGAAGGTTAACACAGTGACAATTTTTGAGTTTTCCAGACAGTCAAGCAGTACTTACCAACCACTTTTTCCTCTTGATTGCAAAGTAGATTATAGACAGCTGGAAGAAGGGTATGAGTGCAAGTGGGGCCAGCACTGAAAAAAAGAATGGAAACAGAAAGACATTTATCATTTTACTTCATCCTAAATATTACTGAATATTCTTCTGTAAGAAGATTCTTCTTTCCAATAGAAGACAACTCACTCTCTTCTCTTTACACCAACTTTCATGCACCCACATACTTTCCTCCTCTTTTCATTTCACCATTTCTTCATTTCTTTCCCATCCCTTTCTTCCCTCTACTTGATTCACCCCATCTAGTTCCTACATCACACAACCCTACCAGAGCCACAGAGGCAATTTCTCCTCACATGGACCTTCTTGAACAAGAAGGAAGCTTGTTAGACCATCGTGAGACAGGTTAGTTTTACCCTACTGATGATGTGTTGTTGCAATGAAGCTGTGACATCAATGGGAGGATCTTTAAACCACTTAGTTTGGGGAGGAGATGCACTCATGATTTCAAGGGATACTCACAGCTGAAATACTTGTGCTGGTGATTGTAAGGCATGAACTTCTTCTTCTTCTTCCCCAGCTGAAAAATGAAAAGATACTGTAATGGGGCAGTGGGAGACCTGAGAGCCTTCATAAAGTATTTTTTTTCCTGCCTAATTGAATTACCTCTTAATGTCTCTAATTCAACCCTTCTACTTGAAAAGCAGGTTCTGAGGTTCCAGAGAAATAGAGAGAAGCAGATTCTGTTTAAGCCTCTGTATCCAGGTATCAGTGTTATGCCAGTGCCAGAACAGAACTATTTTTAGGAGAGTTCCAAAATTCATGGTAGGAGGCAAAAATACCTGCAAGTAATTTGAATTTTGCAGGAGAAATTTCTAGTGATGGTAATGAATGCCTAATCTAACCATTCCATGTATTCACCATGACCATGGAATGCTATCAGTGCTCAGAGAGGAACAGGTTATTAACATGGAAACTAAGACAGGAAACTTGGTGGGTTCCAACTTTGGGGGTTGGAACTAGATGATGTTTAAGGTTCCTTCCAACTCAAACCATTCTAGGATTTTATGTGTTTGCTGTGGAAGCTACATCTGAACTTCCATATCAGATGAGGTAGGTACAGACATCCCAAATTTTTGAGTACTAATACTTCCAGAGCTCCTCTCTTACTGTGATAAAACTTGACCACCTCAAAGATGTCTTCACTGGATCAAAACTGAAACAGCAAATGAACTGGATAAACAAACCTCCTGAAATCCATCTGCCCATCCATGCTGTGCCTGACTCCTGTTAAAAAGCAGGAAGGCATGAGAACTTCCTGCTTTTTAACAGGAAGTTTTTCTCACTCCATCAGAGCCAATGGAGCACAGGCAGCACACAGCAGCACACTCTGACTGCTCATGCACCTACATAGCCATCAGAGATCTTACAGAAAATCCTTGATAAAATCCTTCCCAGTTGAAACCAACAGTTTTCTACCAATAAGAATTTTGTCTAAAATAATTCCAGGAGCCTTTCTCAGACAGCAGAGCGGGAATTTTCCATGTGTCTTGGAGAGCTGTAGTTCCTTTGTTTATTACCAGCTCAAGGAGAGAGACAGAGCTGTTATTTTTGTTGGTTATCTCCCAACAAGGCCATTTCATCACCCCATGAGTAACTCTATAGTTACCAGGAAAGGAAAAGACAAATGAGCCCTTGCCTATCCTGATGGTATCAGAAATCCCAAGGGTTCAGGGAGGGTCTGCTGATAGTTTTTGTCTTTATGAAAGCCATAAATTTAGGATTAAGAGATACTTTGCTGCACTTATGTTTGATGCATGACATCAAATGGTCCTGAAGGATTTAGATGCCAAACAGCTCTCACAGCCATAAGGACCCAGAGGGAACATCTGACTCACTAAGAACACCTAACACTACTGTAAGTGGATTGACTCATCCTTTGAGCTGCCTTCAAGGTGCTCACCCTTACTTAAGCACTGACTTTAAGACTTTGCTTCTCAGGAGCTGGTGCCTCAGCATCATAATAACCAGTCAGCACATGAAACTCAGACCTTGGAAGACTTTGGGAATTATCCTAGAATGGTTTGGCTTGGAAGGGACCTTAAGATCACATAGTTCCAAGACACAATCTGGGTTGCTACTATATCTCACTCTATAGCTTTCTGTCATTCAAGTTTGGCTCTCCAGATGTGTCCATGCTCACCTCCACGGAGAGTGTCCTGCCCAGGCTGAAGAGCAGAGGGTGCATGTTGAGGTCAGGGTCCTTGCGGAAGCAGTTGGGTTTGGCATGGTGCTGGTTGTGCAGGTGGTTCCACCAGCTGGCAGGTAACCCCTGCACGGAGATAAGGTGAAGATCAGAGATCCAAATCAGAACATTATCAATGACTACATCACTATTTATCCACCCTTTATCGACAGCTGCACTGCACTTCCCTCACAGGCAATCCTGCCTGGATGCAGGGACACTCCCATCCATTGCTTAGTCCTGACTAGCCCCAGAGACTAATTCCACCATGAGGCAACTACCTACCTTCAGAACATTTATCACCACAATCTGCAGGAGTCGATTCCATTTAGGCTTCCTGAAGACAGAGAAGTGCCCCAGATCATGTTGGAACCAGCCCATCTGGATCTGGAAGACAAAAGGATCACTGAGGGGACAGAATTGCAGTAGCATTGCAATAATTTGCCTTGTGAGTCTCTGCAACTTCATAGTGTGAGTGCATCTTCCTCCTGGTTTGGGGCAGAAACACTCCCTGATATCTTACATGGTCAGTGCTGAGAAGTTCCACCCAGGCTACTGTCCACTAAAGCTGCTCAATTCCAGATACTGCTTTAATCTGGAATACAGGGAAAGCAGCAAAGCATCACCACAATTAGCCTGATTGTTACAGCATGGAAGTCCCATCACAAAGAATTAATTTCCAAGTAACCAGCTAGAAAGTGGAAGAATTTCCAAGTCTGTGGCTTGACTGCATTGCATATTTCCAGGGTGACACAAGGATGCTCTTTGAGGAATATTCACCTTAGCAGATACTAGGCAAGCAGATTATTTAAATAAATTAGCTGGTGTGCACTTGCTTCAGGGATGTCTGAGCAAACTTCAAACCCTTTGCCCTCCAATTTCTCCCATCTAAGGGCCACAAAATCCTATTCCCTCCTTCCCTA